CCGCAGAAGATGTGCTTGGGAGCGAGATGCCAAACGCACGAATTAAAACTTTCATTATTGTTCTGCGTGTCGTTTCCCAAGCATCTTTCTAAGTCATCATAAATCGGTTTGAGAATCTCTGTAACTTTGTCACTTAATGCAGGTGGGTGGCTAAAATTGTGCAGAGTTCCCAAAGCTTCATGTTTCCGGTTTTCGCACCAAGAGTGTTGGGGATTTTCATCCGTAGAAATCTTATTGTTGTCCAAATTGCATTTTTCATCTCTTCTAATGAATCTGCGTGACGACGTATAGCTTTGATCTTTGAAACATTTCGAATATTCCATCGACCTCCATTTTCCCAGCACAGACAGAGAATGATTTGCGTCACACTGCTCCTCATGATCGGCGTACCAAGCCTCAAATTCAATTGTTTTTTTTTTTACCTGTCCATTTGTGACAAGCTTTACTTATGCTTGATTTTACGCGCACATCCAGAATTTTGCTTGAATATTTTCCGATTAGTGTGACGATGACCTGTCCATTTGTGACAAGCTTTACTTATGCTTGATTTTACGCGCACATCCAAAATTTTGCTTGAATATTTTCCGATTAGTGTGACGATGCCTAAAAGCGAGGAAAAGCCACGCTTTAGACCACGACCCGCTCAGCGCCTTCTCTACAACTTTCGGGTATAACAGTCAAACTAAAGCGAATCAGATCACGAAACTGTACGAACACATTCTTAGATATATGTACTTTCGAAAAATGAAAAAAAAATTTTGACTTTTTTGAAAGTGTCAGTGGAAAGACCCCTTAAGACGGACATACTGTATAACAGTGTCCTGTAACACGTAATGGTTTCAGAGATGGATGGAAAGTTCATAAGAGTATATATAGAGTAAATTGAATATTTCAACAATATACAATTGTTACTTTGTTGCATTGTAATTTTGTTAACGATGAAGAAAAAATATATTTCGTCGTGTAATACCTACATTATTACATAATGGGACACAAATGTAATGCGTCGTTCAACGTATATTAACTGGTGATTTTTCACAACATATGAAGAAAATCTGATAGGGAAATTGAACCCATTTTTAACGTGGGTAAGAATACAACAGAAGACATTATTGAAGGATGTAAATGTGAAGATCATATAGAGTGCATATCACAAAAAGGCAAACGAAAAGTTCTAGACGTGTGTGACAAAACAAAGATTGTAAAGAAAATGAAGAAAGGTCCTACATTAAGTACATCAAAATTATTTTTTAAATTCTTCAATGAGATTGGGAAGAAAATTAAACTCCAAATGTTATTTTTAACGCGTTTAAAAACGTGGTTACAACGGGCAAGTTGCTCGGAGAGAGCCATCTGCGTATATGGGATCGGGGCCTCCATACCCATCAACACGAGCACTATTGAGTCATCCTGAATGTTCCCGCGGTTTTAAACCGTTAATTTTGAAAAAAACAACTCCACAGAAATTTAATATTTTTATTTAAAATAGTTTCCATAATGTTCGATACGTTTTTGCCAACGTATTACAAGAGCTTTAATTCCGTGTATATAAAAATCCGAATTTCTAGGACGGCCGCTCAGCAGCTGTTTTAGGAGCAAAAGTGCTTTTTTTTTTTATCTCGAGCAGAGCCGACAGCAGAGGTCAGAGTAAATGACGTCGAAAGTTGTTAAAGGAGTGGGGAACAATGGTAGTGGTGGGAGTGTAAGCTCATAAATAAGTATTTATTTATGTACATATTTATGTACTGTGTAAAGCTCAGGAGTTTGTCTCTGGGATAGTGCAGGAGCACGAGGGGTATTTCACTCGCTCCGCCCGAATCTTCCGTCATGCAGTGTTATATGATCCGATTCGTCGATATTATCGTATTCGGCCAATAATGACTATATGTGTGCCTTATTGTTATAATTGTGTTAGAGAACTTGGCCTTATGAGGATACGACCCAATCAGACATTCCTTCCAGGGGCAAACTTCTGAGCTCTACACAGTATATACTTATAGGCACGTGCTAAAAAAAAGTACTTAACCAATGGTACGAAACACCTCATGAACGTATCGACACATGCCTACCTACGAACCTACACTCCCACCACACTACCGTTATTCCCCACTGCTTTTACGATTGTCAACGTCATTTGCTCCCGGCTCTGCTCGAGATAGAAAAGAGCGCTTTTGCTCCTAAAACGGCTGCCTGAGCGGCCCCGGTCCAAGAGATAGAAAGACGCAAATGAATCTCCCCAACCCAAATCTAGTTTACACTAAAAAAAATCATATTCCCAGTTTGGTGGTCTACTTTAGAATTAATTCACTACAGTTTTCTGTGACCGAGTACCACTATCACTGCAGAATCAGACAGTAACGAATTGGAGGTTCACCAAAAACCGCAACTAACCCTGACCAACAGAAGGCCTTATCTTTCTGCATAACAACGCCAGACCGCGTGTAACAAGCATAACTGTATAAAAATTGCATCAACTGGCTATTGAAGTTCTACCTCATCCTCCATATTCTCCTGATTTATCTCCAACCGATTTTCACTTTTTCCGCTCATTTGACAATTTCCATACACAAAAGCGATGTAGGAAACAGGGGGATATTGAAAACTCCTTTCGGCAGTTTCTTTCTCTTAGAGATACGAATTTTTATGTATGCGGAATTAATGCTGATGTAATACGTTGGCAAAAGTGTATCGAACAGTATGGAAATTATTTTGAATAAATATATTTAATTTCAATGGAATTCACGTTTTTTTCAAAATGAACGGCTTAAAACCGCAGGAACTTTCAGAATAACCTAATATAGTATAACAACAAGGAAATACGGAGGGCACCTTGGCTATAGGTGTAAAGTCCCGACTTGTTGACTGGAGATTGGGTGTTCAGTTACTCTGCTTTTGGGTCCCTCGTACTTTTGTTTGGCTCCTACACATGTATGTAAATCAAATTAGTTGAAAAAGGGGTTACAGTTTACTAGGGAATTTGTTTAACCAAAAAATATGTGGACTGGTGTTATTTATAATAATGAAAGGAAATTTGTAGGAGCTGAGGAGAAATGTGAACCCAAGCGGGAATCGAATTCGCGACCTCCGACCGATAAGCCAGGATTCTACGCCATAAGTCAAAGCATCTTCCTTATTTTCTCGTTATTAAATCTCCTGCTGATGGGTATGGAGGATCCGATTTCACAAATTTAACATTTTTTGATCTGATTGGCAAAGAATAGTGAGATTGGAAGAAACGAATTCCAAGTTAAAAATACAAAGCAAAGTCCAAAGTACAGAGGTGGAAATGTACTACTTCTGTGGGGGTGTATCTCCACATTTGACAATAGCGAATTAGTTTTTATAGATAGTATAATCGACAAAGAATGGGAGTTCAAAGAAGATTTAAATATTATCCAGACAAATGTTTCCAAGTATAAAGCATGTACTGTATAGGAATATTTACTGTACACTTGTCCAAAGTTATTGCAGCTTCTACTTTCGATCGGCGAAACAAGCAAACGTTAATAATGTCTAAAGTAATGTTGAAACAAGAACTAAAAGACAAATGGAATAATAATAACAAAGAATATTTGAAAAATTAATTTGTAATGTGCTTTAATGTTTGAAAGAGGTCACTTGTCAATAAGGATATCCTATAAGATATTAAATCAGTTTTCGTTTATGAAAATTAAAGCAAAAAATAAATATTAAGTTTTAGAGGCAACTCAATATTATTATAATGGCTAAATTAGACATTTCTTTGTTTAAAGTATTTTTTGTCATAAACAAAATTGAAATATAGCAATTGTAAGTAAAGTAAAGTTTTTTTAAAATTGTAAGTAAAGTTACTCACTGTGTATATTATTTAATCTTCTTTACAAGATACAGCAGCTTTTATATTCTGCCCACTGACATTTGATTACTTTCACAGGAAATGCTCAAAATGACTACTTTACATTTTTACATATGCTTGTGAATGCTTTGTTGTTGATCTTGTTACTTTTTTGACAGTTTTAGATATTAGTTAAATTTCTTGAAGACCTTACTAAATGTACTTCAACATTTTAATGCTTCTTTTGTGAATGAAAAATTTCATATGCCCTGGCTGGTAAAAATGCAGTGAATTTAAATCTAGGAAGCAAGGGAGCAACGCAATAAAACTGTTATTGCCAATCCATTTTTGGAAATTTTTCATTCAAGAATTGCTCATCTAACATGTAATAAAATTTTAACATAATTTAATACTCTTATTGAGAGTAAGAACTAAAATTACTCATTGAGAATTACAATATGAAGGGATTGCTTCATTTATTGAAGCAATTTTCACAACATAAAATTTTCTATAAATCAGATACAAGATCAAATGGAACATATATACATATGTTTTCATAATCTCAATATGATCACTTTTTTATTATTTTCAATTACTGAATCCATCTGTGAAGTGGATTCCACATATTTAGGGTATCTTTATATTTTGGTGGCAGTGATTACAATTTCATGTTAGACATATGAGGATATTTCCAGGTAGTGTCAGAAGGTATGGAATGTCATGATCTTTGCCAACTATATGAAAAGTTCTTGTTACCGAGCTAGATTCGGCGTATAAACCATATTCCTTGAATAATGCGAGGATTCTGCCACGTCCAGCGTGATACCTGCCCTTCCGTCCTTCCTTCCTTCCATCCATCCATCAGTTGTGGTATGTGCAAGTTCAAATATGAGAAATTGATGTTTCACAATGTTACTTATTGAAAGGGATCGTATGCAATTCACAATCATAAAAACAGAATGCTGTAGTATGCTATCAAAACTACGTCATGAGAACTGCCGAAAAATCATGTTAACAAATATTGATATTACAACGCAGAATATGCAATGTCGCAACATAACTTATGCAGAATTGGATATTCTGTCAAAATGTCATTGAACGGCGCGTGAATTATAGATAAACAAAAGTGAGACTGTACAAAGAGGTCCATTATAACAACACAGATTTATTTTTTACTGATTTTTAGATATTCTAAATGTACAGAATATATTTGTCAAATGGAAGAGGGACGTCTTGCGTGCCAACCTGGGTGTACAGAGGAAGAAACACTAGAAGCAATGATATTAAGGGAACTTTCAGTAATTCGTGATCATGCTGGAAAAGCTTGTTTGAAAGAACTTCATCCCAGTAATAGTCCATTAGTTATGGCTTTGTCTGGCAGTAAAGGAAGTTTCATTAATATTTCTCAAATGATTGGTATGTTAAGTAATAATATACAAAAAATATTTGTCATTGAATGATATTTGTTATTTAATATTTTCATGTTATTTAGCATGTGTGGGGCAACAAGCTATTAGTGGTCATAGAGTTCCAAATGGATTTGAAGATAGAGCTTTACCACACTTTGAACGACATTCAAAAATTCCTGCAGCTAAGGGTTTTGTAGAAAACTCATTCTATTCTGGTCTAACACCAACGGAATTCTTCTTTCACACAATGGGTGGAAGGGAGGGACTTGTAGATACAGCAGTCAAAACTGCAGAGACAGGTTATATGCAACGACGATTAGTTAAAAGCTTGGAAGATTTGTGCCTTCATTATGATATGACAGTTCGTAATTCAGTGGGAGATATTGTACAAATATTGTATGGTGGAGATGCTTTAGATCCTACATACATGGAGGGTACGATATTATTATTATTATTATTTAACATTAATAACAGAATAATCAAATAATCATTTTAACAGGAAAAGACTGCCCTGTGGATTATAAGAGAGTACTGGATCACATAAGAGCTAAATCATCGTGTAAAAATGAGGAACCACTAGATGGTCCCAGTGTTATTAAAGCTACAAACGAATTATTAAATTCTGAAGAATATGAGTGTCTCAGTAAAGAATTTAAACAAGAATTATCGTAAGTACAACAGTTACGTATGCTATAATATTACAAACAAATAATGTTAAAATTATATTACTAAATTTTACTCTCACAGCACATTCCTTAAAAATGTAGCACGTAAAATAGCGCGTCTTCGTCACAATGCGCCATTGAATGTACCTGTAATTTTGCAACTTGAACGACTCACAGTTTCTCAATTAGTTGAATTTATTCATACCTGTAAAGAAAAGTACATGAGAGCAAAAATAGAACCGGGTACCGCTGTAGGTGCACTTGCTGCGCAAAGTATTGGTGAACCAGGTACACAAATGACATTGAAAACGTTTCATTTTGCTGGAGTAGCATCTATGAATATTACTCAAGGAGTACCACGTATTAAAGAAATTATTAATGCAAATCCCAAAATTAGTACTCCTATTATTACAGCAGCTTTAGTAAGTTCTGTATTCAGAATACAAGCTGTATTGTGTCTAAAATATGTATTTATATGAAAGAAACACATATTTTAAAAATTTTTTTATTTTAATATTAGGAAAATGATGCAGATCCAGAATATGCCAGGAGAGTAAAGGGTAGAATCGAAAAAACTACTTTGGGAGAAATAACAGAATACATTGAAGAAGTGTATCTACCGGATGATTGTTTTTTACTGATAAAATTAGATATTGATAGGATAAAACTATTGAAATTAGAAGTAGATGTCAACTCTATACGTTATTCGTAAGTGAATGAATTTATATTTTATAACGTAAAAGAATATTTGTCAATAAGAATTTATACATGGTACGACTGAATAACATGTACAAGCAGACACGAAGTGATTGCTCATGAAAAAATAAGAAAAAAATGTAGAATGAAATTATTTCATTCGAAATTTTTCATTCGAAGTTTAGTTTTCGAGAAAGTCGAGTTTGAAAATCCACTGTGTGCGTGTGCAATTACGGCTAAGATATGGTTCGCCGAGCGATGTATAATGTCTATCGTGTTTGTAAACAATGCGTACGTGATATTTACGAGTTTCTAGATTCAACAAAGAACAAAAGATATTTTGTCAACTATTCTATTATATCAATTATAAAACTACTGGAACTGATTGCCTCGTTGTCGTATGCAGAGCTTGTGCTCATCTAATTACAGATGCACAAACTCTCGGTAATGTGTTTCGATTTTCCAAGTCTTCAAATGCGTGATTAATATTTTGTATTAATTGGTCCCAACTTTCAATATTTCGACTATAAATCTTTTCCTGATATGACCCCACAAATAAAAATTGAGGGATGTAAGATCTGGTAATCTTGGAGGCCAGGCAACTGTGCCTCCACGGCCAATCCAACATTAATATTTTTCGTTAATAAAGTTTCTTACTCCTCAGTTGAAATGTAGCGGAGCACCATATGTTAGAAAATTATTCATTGTCGAATACATAAGGCACATCATCTAATAATGTTGATACATTTTCACGTAGAAAATTTAAGTAACATTTTCCTGTTAAAGTATACGACAAAAAATGTAATCCAGTCATGTAATTGCCGAGTATTTCAACTCATACATTAACATTAAACTTCTCTTGAAAATATCTTTCATGCATTGCATGAAGATTTTTAGTCCATAAGTGCGTATTATGAATATTGAAAGCACTGTTTCTGGTGAATTGTGCTTCATCCGTCAGTTTTCCTGGTTATCCCGTAAAAATTGTTAAAATTGTTCTTTCTTGAATCTAAAAACTCGGAAATATCACATAGGCATTGTTTGCAAATGCGGTACACATTATACATGACTCGGTGAATCATATCTTAGCCGTAATTGCATACGCATGCAGTGGATTTTTAAACTCTATTTTCTCGAAAACTAAACTTCGAATGAAAACATTTCATTCTACATATTTTGCTTATTTTTTCATGAGCAATCACTTCGTGCCTGCTTGTACATGATTATTCTGTATAAAATACGTCTAATTTGATTATATCATTTATGCAGAATTTGTACGTCAAAGTTGAGGTTGAATCCAAAACTAGTAAATGTTAAAGGTGATTCAATTATTACTGTGAATCCCATAAAAAATAAATATAGTTTAAATTATGCGCTTACACAACTCAAGGAAACAATTCCAAATATCGTTGTAAAGGTAATTTGAAAAAAGGAATTTACGTGCTTTATGATAAATATTTTCTAAGTGTTTAAAATGGCATACAAACTTTTATTCCTGTACAATTTACAGGGTTTACCATCAGTTTCTAGAGCAGTAATTCATAATGATGATTCCAGTGGAAAAACAAGATATAAATTGTTTGTTGAAGGAGACAATATGCGAGAAGTAATGGCAACTTTTGGCGTTTTAGGCAAAAAAACGACTTCGAATAATACAATTGAGGTAAATGTAAAATTAAAGCAAAAGTACTTGTGTTAAAAAAAAAATGCGTACAAATATGTTTCAGGTTTCCAAAACTCTAGGAATTGAGGCTGCAAGAGCAACTATAATGACAGAAATTAAATTGGTGATGGAAAATCACGGAATGAGCATTGATCGAAGACATCCAATGCTTGTAGCAGATTTAATGACTAGTAGAGGAGAAGTATTGGGTATCACAAGACAAGGTTTAGCTAAGATGAAGGAATCTGTTTTAAATTTAGCCTCGGTAAAATTATACATA